AGGGCCCTGCATTCCACCCACCCAACTCAATAGAGTGTTGGACACATTTGGCATTTTGGTAATTTTGGCATACACTGTGACCATCTCATAAGAGTGCAGATGAATGTCCTAGGGGTTAGCTACAGAACCTGTGCTGTCTGATTTTACTGTGGAAGGGGGTTTCTGCACAGGCTGGCTCCCTTCTTGTTGTCCTTCTGCTGGCAAGTGACAACCTTCTTGCTTCGACAGGCTTCAGGGAACTGACTGCTTTTAATGAAAAGGCCAGTGCCGTACTGCTTTTATTGTAATTATTTGTATGCTTTTAATAGTTTTAGTATTCACTAGCTCTATCATAATTTTATCAATGTTAAATTGTTTTTTATTTATTGTTGTTGCTGTTTTTGAGGCTCTTGATGTTATCTTTAAACTACGGTGAGTCCCATCAGAGGAAAAGGTGGGGAATGAATGAATAAACAAACAAACAAACAAACAAACAGATACTAAAACTTAAATTAAAACAACAACAACCCTAAAAGCAGTTAAAACAATTCCAAAAAAACAGGGATCTCAGGGATCTCTGGAACAGTGTTTTTCAGCTATCAAAGGCCTGGGTAAACAGGAATGTTTTGAAATTCCTCTTGAAAGTCAATAATGAGGGATGTAGATATACCTCACCAGAGAGGGCATTCCACAAGTGGGGAGCGATCACTGTAAAGGCCCTGTTATGCCAGTCAGGCAGCCCTGCCGATGGCCACATAACCTGTCCTCACCTGCCTACTGTATGGTCTGAGGTGCCCGATTTAGGGAAGGTGCACTTTTAGGTACTTGGGTCCCAAGCCACCTTGACTTGGCCCAAGTAGCTCCCTGGTAGCCTGTGCAGCACTTTCAGGACCAGCAACACATGGACCCATTGGACTGCTCCACTTACAATCCTAGCAGCTGCATTATGTATTAGCTGCAAATTCTGGGTCACCTTTCAAGGGAAGCCCCACATTGCAATAGCCCATACAGGAAGTCCAAAGCACGGACAGCTGAGGCCAGGCTGTCCTCATCCATTTATTTCAAACTACAAATACCATTTGCTTGCTTTGAAATTTCAAATTGTAGAATCCATTCCAATATGATTGTAATCTGTTTTACCCAATTTTAATACTCTTTCTTTAAATTGTTGTAACCCATGTGGAACCTAATGGTGAAGGGCAGGTAGGAAATCCAAATAATAATAGTACAAATTTGGTCTGAGTTTTGTGAGATAATACATGTGAACAGTCCTGCAAAAAGACCCAGGAAGCTATTGCATCCAAGTATTCTAGAATTGCTACTACTACTACTAATAAATATGCATGTAGGTCACCTCATTAACAAACTTTATAGTTACACACTTGTACCTGCTATCTGGGAAGCTGCTGGTGATAACAGCAAGTGCATCTACAGTGAATGGATGTGCATTTAGCACATTGTCAAAATAAATAGGGTGATCTGAATAAGTAGATCCAATCCTCACAGAGGATAACACATTCCATGTGCTAATGAAGCAACAGCTTGAAAATTAACAACACTTACCTCAGCACCTTGAAGTTTTCTTGGGCTGAAAATTAGTGACATTTTGGTGAGGGTGGAGAAGCAGGTCAAATGCCACATTAATCTAACTTATTGGCTCCTTATTCAACTGAAATTCTTTTAAAAAACCCATTTAGCAGGGTCCGTGTACCAAATGTCAGCAGCACTCCGGATGTAAATATCAGAGAAATAACTCATTTAACTTACTACTCTTGAAGTCATCTTTCCCTCCCTGATTTTCTCTTTAAATGTTCCCTTTATAAGAAGCACCATGGTTCACTGCACTTGGAAATTAAAGACGACAGAGTAAAGATCAAAGTTTGAGTTTGCCCACTGCCAGCCACAAAGGGAAATTAAAATCACTACTCAAATTCCATTTTTACAACTTGCTGATGGATATAAGCTTAGAAAAATATAAGCATCAGAAAGCCCACTCTTGTACCCTGAAGAGTAAGCTCTGAACTTTTGACTGCTGCTGATCATTAAGATGAGCAAGGAAAACATGGTCATTTAAGAAGATAACCAAGTGGTACCCGAACTGGCGGAGGAAGAGGAGTGTGGGGGGGAGCGCCCCACCCCGACAGCGCGATCCTGGTAGGGTGCTATCGTGACTGCCCCCACCCGCGCTGGGCACCCCGTGCTCAGAGCATGAAGCTCCGCCACTGGGTACACCCCGTTTGTGGCAGATTTCGGAACAACAATTATTCAAATGTAAAGCTAACGTCAAACATAATCATTTTCAGGATGATTAGTCCAATGCTGTTATGATGGATTTTTTAATATTTTTTTTACAGGGGTGGGGACTAGATCCATCACCATCCCAGCCTGACCAGCATTAAGGCCATGTGAGATTGAAACACTCCAATCCTCACATGGGAGCACATAGCTGCTCAAGGTAAAGGTAAAGGTACCCCTGACCATTAGGTCCAGTCGCGGATGACTCTGGGGTTGCATGCTCATCTCATTCTATAGGCCGAGGGAGCTGGCATTTGTCTGCAGACAGCTTCCGGGTCTTGTGGCCAGCATGACTAAGCCGCTTCTGGCGAACCAGAGCAACGCACAGAAACGCCATTTACCTTCCCGCCAGAGCGGTACCTATTTATCTACTTGCACTTTGACGTGCTTTTGAACTGCTAGGTGGGCAGGAGCTGGGACTGAGCAATGGGAGCTCACCCTGTTGCAACAGCACCACTGCTCAAGGGGTGGTTAAATGGCTTTATTTAAGGAGGCAGTGCCAGACCTGTTTTCATCTTCAGATCAATCTCCAGGGAGGGAAAACATTTAGTCTGATAAATAAATATGAAACTATCTCACATAGAAAAGGGTTTGGGTAGGGCAAGAGTGGTGATGTTCCTTCCCCATCCTTTCTCTCTCTCAGAAGCTAAAGCAGGACAAGCCTGAAAAGAACACAAAAAATAAGCAGGGGGAAGGACAAGCCTATGGCCATCCACTTTAAGCCAATCAAAGCCAGGGTGTTGCTCTTTCCAAAGCTGTGTGTCTGTGTAGTTCATAACCTTCCAAATAAGAGAACCAGAGCAGGTGGGGGCCACACAACTTTTCTCCCAGGAGAAGAAGCAATGATGGCAACAGAGACCTCTTCTGAACCAAGGCACAACACTATAGATGCCAAGTATTTGTGCTGTTATACTGCTAAAGGGTCCATTGTTTCTTTTTCAAGGGGGTGGGAGGTCAGGGACCTCCTAGGCCCCACCCAAGTCTAAGTTGCAGCAGCCTGTCATTTGCTGCATTGCCCCTCCTTCCTACAGCCAGCATGGAACTCAGGGAGATGGGTCATGTAGGAGAGACTCCTAAGACAGATGGGCTGAATATGGCCTGGGAGGGCAGGCAAAGTTTTCACATCCCTTCCTTAAATGAATTCACCACTTCAGCACTTAAAGGATACACTCCCTGTGGGTTGTATCATTCACTGAAGCAGTCAAATACAACATTTCCTGTTTCCTAGAGTGGACACACAAAGGAGAATGTCGCTCCAGATGGGGAGGACTTCCTGTCATACATGCTCTGGAGGATCCTTCCCCTGTGTATGACCAAGTACATGGGCATGACCCTAGCAGACCCTATAAAGGCGCTAGTCATGCAACCATCTCCCTCTCTTGCTCTTTTGGCCCTTTGGCTCTTGCAACTGCTCTTTTGCCATCTTCCTTCTGCTGGCTCTTAGTCATGGCTCATCCTTACAGAGGATGGAAGCCACAAGGTAGAAAGTCTGAGGCCTAGCTCAGACTTCTTTTCTCTACACAAGGACCTGTAACTACAAGATAAAGGTTACCTTCAGGACAATACTGTGAACTGAATGTAAATAAACTTTACCATTTCTTTTAAAAGAAGACTGTCGTGTCATTATTGTTCTTAAGAGGGAACTAAAGGGGAAATTTGCCAGGAACAATCCAATCTGGACAAGCCAGACTGGATTGCTCAACTCAAATGATTCTAACAAATCATCAACTTGCTTCCAGCATTGTGCAAGGAAATGTGCTCTGCTACTAGCTCACTAGTGTGAGTGAAGAAGGATAATATTTAATCAGTATATCCTCTCCTGCTATCCACAACATTCCCACACTCCCCACTCCCCACCACAGTAAACAGAACATCTCAAAGTGCCACACAATCTACCATCCATTTACTCTGGAGCAATCGCTCGGATTAATGCAACACCACTGAAACATCTACAGGGCAACTGATCTGTGGATTGTGACAGGTTCTATGTGCTTGTTTGCCTGGCCTAAACACAGTTTTGTTTCCCTAATAGGGTGAGACATATTATTAATTTATCTTTATATCATATTGCATCCCTAAGCCTGAGGGTGGATAAAGACATGAGTAATATATAAATATTAAGTATACAGGAAAGGAAAATAACTTCATCCACCAGTGTTAAAATAGCACATATCTTATAGTTTCTTAAACCCTGGTAGGCTGTCTAGATATATGCATGTATAAGCACGCCTTCATTCCTCGAAGATGCTGGAGCTTTGGCACACTGCCAGCAAACATATCTCCGTGTGCTTTGCTGTTTAAATGTGGCAAACTGATTTATATTGCTAAGAAGGCACTCTTGGGTGATCTCAAGGCCCTTTTGCACATTACAGAACTCCTCCTTGGAAGTATTTTGCAGAAGGAAGCCATGTGCTAAATGTGTCTAAGCCAACACATGAAACAACTGCACACAGGCCCATTTTATCCATATCTACATGTTTAAAAGATCAGGCTATGCATTCTACTTAATATTCACGCAAGGAATGCACATGGGTTGCCAGGGCAGCCTTTGTTGGGATTCTGCAACTTCATGTCAACAAGGGTTGCTAACTGGAGTTGGTTACATGTAACAGGATATCACAAATCTGATGGGGGGAGAAATATATTAGTGTAAGATAATTCAGAGAATAGTGTTTTTTTAAAAAATTGATATCAGTTACACCAGTGTTACCACTATGAATATTTTTGGCTTATTCCTTTCCCACAAGTTTACTTAAATGGGTCTTTTGCTGCCTAATTTTGCATATATTTAGTCACTTTCCTCTAAATACATGTATGCTGCTTACCATCTAACAGCTAAGTTTTAATAAAAGCTCATTTAAATCTGTTAATTTATACAAATCTGCCACTGGGTAGATTTAATTTTTTTGGGAAGAATGGGGGAGTGTGGGAGTGTAGTGTTTTAGCACCGATGAAAGCCTAAAGTGAGGGAAAGAATGAGGACACTTCCAGAATAATTTGATCAGAAACATGTTTCACTGCATATAGATATAGGTAAATATTGATATTGGTATTGATATAGCAAAGAGAGACTGAGGAAGTAATGTTTTGATTGGTTGGTTTAATAAGAATTCCTAATTAAGGGAGGGAATGGCCTTTTTTCTGCACGATAAAAGTTTAGTCAACTTGGGTGACCTGTATTCCTCGCCTAAAGAATTCCTGTATGGCACACCCCGTTCAATGTTACAGGAAGGCAAACAATAACATAGCAATTTAATAAATTTATCCACATGGGATTAATGTGTGGTATTGATGGAATTAATGTGTGTTTAGTCACTGAAGGACCTTGCTATGAGGTAGGATTGGATTTAATTGATCTCATCTTCCTCTGAATTATGCAATTACTTGTGCCATCCTCAAGACTGCAATAGGACATCAGGTGTGGAATCAGATGGGCAAAGGAAGGTATTGTAGGGAGCAAACATCTTCCTTGCAGTAATAAGCTGGAACTCCCAGAATCCTCCTGAAAAGCTTCTGGGTCAGATGTCAGGGACTGGCAGGTCTCTGAGGAGTGTGTGACAGAGTCAGGGCCCCCTGAAGCTAATCTAAGGGAAGGGGCTAATAGAAGGGGGGAAATCTAAGCAGTCAGTGATGAAAGGAGGAGGTGCAGAACATGGCAGGAATGGAGGAAGAGACTGTTCTGGAGAGGAACAGGATGATAAGATTCCCTTCCGCCCCCTTCCCCACTGTCTCCAAGGATCAGGAGGGGCTTCAAAAGGCAGGCAGAGCAGCAACTTCCATGTAGAAGAAACCACATGTTGTTTATGAATGCCCCATCAGGCGAGGGTACTTAAGTTTGGATGGAGGCATGGTCATGCCATTGCTCCAGCAGTCCAGCTCAGGGCAGAAGCCTGGGGAGGCGATACCAGCTACTTAGTTGCCAAAACGGTGTGTGTGCTCAGTGCACCTGCAAGTGTGTGCTTTCTCAACAGAGAATTAAACCACAGTCTCTTTGTCCTCTTGGGCTAGGTGTGCTCAGGTCATGAAGTCATCTCACCGGTCTTACTTGCTATACACCACCAGTGTCTCAGTTCTGTCATCAAGCTTACAAGAGCTGGGTCCAACACCTAGGAGGTAGGATGCAACTGCTGCAAACCACTTGTGGCAGAATCTATTTATTGTAAGTGATACCATAAAGTAGCAGTGTGGTGCAATCCTATTCCCCTTTGTTAAGAACTAAGCTCTACTGAATCCAGTCAGACTTGCTACCAGGTATGCAAAGGACTGCAGCCCAGGAATGGTTTCTGGGGAAAAGATGACACAGAACATTGCTGATTCGTTACTACTTGGAATGCTGGGGAGAGAACAGCCTGTCTAGATAGATATCCATGGAATTCTGTAAAATTTCTCCCAAAGTTACATGCTGCTGCTTTCTAAAATAGTGGGTACTGGAGGCTTTTAATTGGAACCAGCAAAGGCAGGATAACGAAGGGATGCAAACTCTTCCTCTACTGCCTTCTCAAATACCATTGCCTTTTTCTATTCTAGTTCTCAGCAACTTTTTCTAGAAAAGATGCAGGTCTAGTACAGTGGATGCTCAGGCTGCGAATGTGATCTGTGCGGGATGCACATTCTCAACCTGCAGCTGCACGCCTGCGCATGCACGGGTTGTGATTTGGCACTTCTGCGTATGTGCAAAGCGCGAATTACCACTTCTGCACATGCGCGACTGCTGAAACCTGGAAGTAACCCGTTCCAGTACTTCCGGGTTTTGGTGGTCTGTAACCCCCCAAAAAAAACCCGCAATCTGAAGCTTCTGTAACCCGAGGTATGACTGTATATAACACATGGCCTCCCGTCTCCCTTCCATCAGTTCCTAGTTACAGTTTCCAGTGGTTGCTTCTCCCCCCCCCCAAAAAAAAAACAAAATCGGGATGGGGGGAGGAGTTCTACAGCACATCCTGTTCTGTGCAGGTCCTGAGATACATTTCTTCCATGTCTGTTAAATGACTGATCTTCTATGTCCCACAACTAGCACAAGTGAATTATACTTTGTAGAGACCACTTCTACAAAGAGTCCTTTGCATGGTTCTTCTCTTGTTCACAAGTCATCCCAAGGGAAGCAAAAATCCAGGTCACCCATGAGTATTCTTGTGCAGATAGGAAACTAAGACCAGGGAGTAATGATCTGTTAAAAATATCCCATGAATTCATGGTTTAACAGGAATTTGGAAACCAGATCTCTTTGTCATGGATGCTTTAGTTGTGATGCACTGCAGGGGATTGGACTAGATGATCCTTGGGGACCTTTCCAACTCTAAGATTCTAGGGAACCCAGCACTCTAGGCATTGCAGATTTCCAGTATTTTAATGATGCATAAACATGGTTTAAAGAATACACACAAATATTGTTGTTCTTTTTCCTCTTCCAATATTGTTGTTGTTTTTCCTCTTGCTATTAAGAAATAAAATAAAAATATTAACATGGAAACCTGAGACTGTTGGCTCCCTTGGAAGCAATGGTGCCTGTTGAATGTTAGGACTAGCAGGGTGGAAGGTAGGGAGGCCAACAGTAGCGGGAGCCAGCGCCACTGACAGGCAGAGGCAACTAATTCTAGTTTTGACCCCATCCTTCCCTGTTACATTCTTGAAGGGCAACACTGGCCCAGAATACCTGAAGGAGCATCTCCACCCCCATCGTTCAGCCCGGACACTGAGGTCCAGTGCCAAGGGCCTTCTGGTGGTTCCCTCACTGTGAGAAGTGAGGTTACAGGGAACCAGGCAGAGGGCCTTCTCTGTAGTGGCGCCCACCCTGTGGAACGCCCTCCCATCAGATGTTTTAACATCTTTCTGCTGTTTACCACCACATGGACTCCAATGGTTTAGGGCAGCACATGTGCTTCAGTATAAGGCATCTTTTTATACTCCTAAGATTTTAGCCTTAGAGAGGCTGTGTCTTTTTCAGCTCATCTGAGCATTCCATATCTTTAAAACAATCAGGTTTTTGAAATAGTATTCTGATCACTACCACACACTGCTACCACCAATTCTGAAACTTTCAGGCAGATTTGCCACGTCTCCATTTGCAGAGGACAGTCAAAATCTTTGAGCAGGAAATCAGGTTGACCACTTGACCCATTGAAGATATGCATTACCAATGCCTTTCACATCCACTGTGACTTAAACAACCTTCCATGTTTACCATGACTCACTCCTAGGATACAGAAAGTTGCCACCCAGTGCATCTGTGCAGCCTTTGGCAATCAATTTTACATCCTTTCATCTGCCTGCCTGCCTTGCTCTCTACCAACTTCCATGCTGGTTTTGTATACATTGCTTCCACTGGGCAGGATCGGCAGCAAAGGTCCACCTGAGCAGGGAATAAAGAAACAGGGGGAGGAGTCTGAGTCTTCCTCACCTCCCCAAAAAGAGATGCACATGGGAGTTAGGCTTTGAATTTGCTTAAGTGCCCAGGTATGCATATTAAAATAAATGAGAAATGTTGAAAAGTGCAGACCGAACTTTGCAAATAATAAATTCAAGCTTTGAATACACTGTGCCTGAATGCTTCTTATCTCTGCATTTTTGACATTATTTTCCATAGGTGATGTTTGGGAGGATTTTCCTGAAATGGCAATTCTAACTCATCTTCTTACTTTCTTTTCTGTTCAATGATGCATCACAGCCAATGCAAATTCAGGAGAAATCAAGATTTCAGTCAACACTAGCCAAAGGACAAGAAGAAGCCCACCATCTCAAAACCCTCCTCAACGGAGCAGCTTTCAAACGAGTATCCCTTTTATTACCTGGCATGCCTATTTTATGCAACACCTCGATAAACATGTCAACTGTGCCAGGATCGAAAAATCAAGTATCAAAATATTGAGGCGTGAACCACCTGCTCTGAAAGTACTGGCAACCAGCAGACTTTGGGGTATGTTGAAAAGAGGGGGGAATAAGGGAAAGATTGGAGAGTATTTCCCTGGCAACAGAGCAGTACTTGTTCCCCAAGTCACTAAAGGATGCAGAAAACGCCTGTCAACAATGGCCTTTTCCAAATCCAATGAAGGTCGAAAATTAGCAGGCAGGCAATTCTTAGTCTATCGAACAAAACAACAGCAGAGTCATTGAGGGCTGGGAGTCTAATCCTTCCAGCTTTACCCCCTTCACACACACACACACACACGAAGTAAACTGCATGGTAGTTAGATTCCCAAATGCTTGCATCCAAAACGCACGCATCACGTTTCCGAATGCTGTAGCGTATAGCGCTGCAATTTTGTTTTGTCACAAAGATGTCATTAGCAAGAGCATATGCTAAACACCTAGATGCAGTAGGGTACGATGCCCGAATAGTATTCCGTTCCCACATGAACCCAGTGATGGTTCCATGAGCCTCCTACCCCTCCCCCCCTTTCGCAAAAAGAAAGAAACGTTGCTCCAAAACAGGCGTCAAAATGAAAGAAGAAGGCAAAAAAAGGAACGGGGTGCGCGCCACGCACGTTTCTCGCCCGCAGGAACAAAACGAGAAAAGAAAAAGGGGGGAAAGTCAGTGCCTCATCTCGAGCAACCAAATATCCTCCAAATGTCGTAATTTGGACACATCTCTCCTGAAAGCCTCCCTCCCCCCCCAGCCTGACTCGTATGCGCTGGGACCCTTTAAACAAAGAGGAGCGGCTGGTAGGGAGAGGGAAAGGGGTCCCTGTTTTGGTCGCCTCCTTAAGAAATGCCTCGCCGCTGCAGCTGTCGATTGCGCGCGCGCGCGCGCGTGTGCATACGTGTGTGTGTGTTTGAGCAAAGGCGAGCGGAGCTTAAAGTATTTTCCATTTCATCAGAGAACATATATCCCTTTACTGGTTCACTAAAATGTTGGCTTTTTTTTTTTTTTTTAATGCCCACCCCTTTTCCCATTCGCCCCTGTCTGCTGCGAAGCGCGGCGCAGGCATACAATCGCCGAGAGCTCACGACGCTCAGTGAGCGCTCGGTGCCTCTGCGTGCTGTAGCTACATACTGCTTCTGCTGGAAGGAAGGGATCCTGGGCTGCCGCTCTCGCTCTCTGATCTTAAGCATCTCCGAACCAGCAAGGCGAACCAGCAATGGGGAATAAAGCCATCTTTATGCCGCCGGTCCGGTCAGGGAAGGAATGTTAAAGCTGCATCAGAGGAGTCAATAAAAAACAAAACAAAAACAAAAAAAATTGGTGCTTGCCGCCGCCCGCGTCTGCAAGGATGGACATGAAAGGGAATGTCAAATCCTGGGAAGCCGTTAAGTAAAGAGGTTTTGTTTTTTGGGGGTTTTTTTGGAAGGGGTTTCTCTCTCTTTTTCCCCCCTTTCATTTTTTTCTCCTTGCCCTCCCCCTCCTCTCTCTCCCTCCCCACGTCACAGTATTAACCGCAGAGGAAGGGAGGGAAGAAAAAAAAAAAAAGAACAGAGAGGGAGAGGGGGGGAAAGGCAAGGAAGGAAGGAAGGAAGATCAAGCCTTATGCCCATACTTCTGAAACTTGAAGGTCCTGGGAGTCAGCTTAAAAATCAGGGAGGAGAGTGGAGAGGAGGGGAGAGAAGCTAGCTGGACTTGCCTCTCGCCCTTTGAGACGGAGCAAAGTGAGACATTGTGAGCCTGCCAGCCTCACAGAACGCTGAAAGAGACAGAATTTGTAGCAACAGAGAGCTCTTTTGGAGCCTTGCATATAATTAAGTCCAAACACAAAGGAATCCGCTGAATGGAGGTTGTCACTCTCTGGAAAAGGGTGGGTAAGGCACTTTTTAATTTCATTCTTTCGTGAAGAGAGAGATCTTTTTTTTCCTTTTTTTATTCTAAAGTAATTGTTCTTTTCTATGCCGCGGCAGCTAAAATGGACAAGACCCCTTGTACCTTTTGAATGCCTCTCTGAACTTTAATGCTGTACAGATTTTTGCATGCTGTTTTGTTTTGTTCTTTTTTAAAAACAGGGCAAAAGCCCCGAAAGTGAAATCTTTGGCCCCCATGGTTCTCTTGTTTTTGCCTCGCCCCCACCCCCTCGCCCCCTGTTTTACATACAATATGATGCAGAATTCGTAAAGGGAACTGTCGGACAAAAGATTCAATGGACATTCTCGAGCGCATTTGGGGATATTCTCGCTAATGGATTTCCTTCTTATTGGTGTCTGTTTAAACTGGCTGCTGAGGAAGCCCCCAGGGTTGATCCTGTGCACACTGGGTCTCTTTTTCAAAATGCTTCCAGCCGTGAATAGTGGGTGTCCGCAGCTCTGCCGGTGCGAGGGGAGACTCTTCTACTGCGAGTCCCTGAATCTCACAGAGATGCCGCACAACCTGTCGGGCGTGATGGGCTTGTCGTTGCGGTACAACAGCCTTTCCGAGCTGCCTGACGGACAGTTCACAGGGTTAATGCAACTCACGTGGCTATATCTGGATCACAATCACATTTGCTCAGTGGAGGAAAATGCCTTTGAAAAGCTGCGGCGAGTTAAGGAGCTCACCCTGAGTTCCAACAAAATCACACAACTGCCCAACACCACCTTCCGGCCCATGCCCAACTTGCGCAGTGTGGATTTATCCTACAACAACCTGCAGGCTCTGGAGCCGAACCTGTTTCACGGCTTGCGGAAGCTGACGACGTTGCACATGCGGTCCAACGCCATCAAGTTTGTGCCTGTCCGAATATTCCAAGACTGCCGCAGCCTGAAGTTTCTGGACATAGGATACAATCAGTTGAAAAGCCTGGCTCGAAACTCTTTTGCAGGCTTGTTCAAACTAACCGAGTTGCACCTGGAGCACAATGACTTGGTGAAAGTGAACTTGGCCCATTTCCCCAGGCTCATCTCCTTGCACTCCCTCTGCTTGCGCAGGAATAAAGTCACTATCGTGGTGAATTCCTTGGACTGGACATGGAAATTAGAGAAACTGGACCTCTCGGGCAACAAGATTGAATACATGGAGCCTCATGTTTTTGAAAGTGTACCTCAACTCCAGTCCCTGCAGCTGGATTCCAACCGGCTCACCTACATCCACCCGAGGATCCTAAACTCCTGGAAGTCCCTCGTGAGCATCAGCCTTTCTGCAAATGTCTGGGATTGTGGACGTAACATTTGCGCCTTGGCCTCTTGGCTGAGCAACTTCAAAGGCCGCTACGACAGCAACCTCCTCTGTGCCACCCCTGAATACACACAGGGTGAGGATGTCTTAGATGCAGTATATGCTTTTCACTTATGCGAAGATGCAACGGACCCAACGATGGACATTAACCTCCTGTCTGCTGTGGCAAACAACAGTGACCAAACATTCAGCTACAGCCCTGCCACAATGAACTACGATGTGCAGGATATCGAAGGGGATAGAACGACAAATGCCATCACGGTAACTATGCCCAACGAGAACACCGAGAATGCTGTTCAGATCCACAAGGTGGTCACAGGGACCATGGCCCTCATCTTCTCGTTCCTCATAGTAGTTTTGGTGTTGTACGTTTCATGGAAGTGTTTCCCTGCCAGCCTTAGGCAACTGAGACAGTGTTTTGTGACACAGCGCAGGAAGCAAAAACAAAAACAAACCATGCATCAAATGGCTGCTATGTCAGCCCAGGAGTATTACGTTGATTACAAACCCAACCATATTGAAGGTGCTCTGGTGATCATTAATGAGTATGGATCCTGTACTTGCCACCAGCAGCCAGCAAGGGAATGTGAGGTGTGATTTAATTCTTTTCCAGTGGGGGATTTAACACGGTGTGTGCAACCAAATAGCAGTGGGCAAATTAAAGGACAGTTGGAGGGTTGACGTTTGCTTACCAATGCCCTTCTTTGCTGAAATTGTTTAAAAAAAATAAAAAGAGGAGCTGTCCCAAAAAAAGAGAGACTTGATATTTTAGCTTTATTGTGGCTTAAAACCTTCAAGACATTCAACTTTCAAAAAGAAATAAGATATTTCACATTAACAGCTCTCTTTACAGATCTGTCAATATTCAGAAAAAAAAATCAGAGTGTAAAAAAGTACCAATTATTGATTTTTTTTGCAAAACTACAACAAAAATATGTTTAAAATAAAAGCAAAATAGCATTTACAGTTTTTACAGACTGGTTTACGTTACCTGGATTGTGTATATGGAAATATATGGGGGGGGGGCAGAAAGAGAGAGAAAAAGAGAAAGAGAGAGAGGAGGGAGGGAGGGAGCATGAATTTTATCTCTCTTGCCCATGTAGCTGTTTAAAGTAAGCCAAAAAGAAACACACATTTGAATTAATTTGATGGGTTCATGGTGCGAAAATTATTGGGTACTTGTGGCTGGTTGTACCATGATGTGGTTTGTGAATTTGAATACAGGGCACTGAAAATTATTTTCTCCTCCTTATTATGCTACCTGTAAAACCTATATATAGTCTCCAAGGGGCTGGTCTGAATGGAAAAGTGGATGTTCCAGTAGCTGCTGTGTCACTCTGTCAACACTGCAGAGGGCTTAAAAACACACCTTCCCTGTAAGTTGCTTTAAGAGCCTCACACAAAAAAATGCAGACTCTCTGTCCTGTCCTTCTCTGTCTTTCTGCCTGTCTCTCTCATTGGGGATCAAAATGGACCCCATCACAATATTCCAATTGGTGGGATAGGGTTGGGCAAAACAGCAACAGAAAGCCTGCTCCAACTTGCCATTTTGACCTCTTCCTCTGAGGACTCAAAGACTTATATCAGGTCTCCCACTATCTCCCCCAAAATTCACTGTTTTATGTGGTAGCCCCCCCAAAAGTAAGGGGAACTATTCCATCCATGCTCCAAAGAGCAAGGTGTGTGTGAGAGAGAGAGAGAGAGAGAGAGAGAGAGAGAGAGAGAGATTCATTTGTAGTGGCAAAAGCTCTGTGCCTGTGGCTCAGGAGTAAAATCCTCAGAATAACGCACCAAAGGTATCTTTGCATACAGAATGGTTAGAAAATGCCTCTGGTTGCAACAGCGAGACCATAGAAGAAGAAAAAGTGGGGGCAGGGGGAGGTAGCCCATCCCTAGGTGGCCTCATTAGTCAATGTGTGTGTGTGTGTGTGTGTGTGTGAGAGAGAGAGAGAGAGAGAGAGAGAGATCACACATTTTGCATCTCTGGCTCATTGCTTGAGTGGATGTCATTAAGTACAATCAGCAAAACTTGCCATCAAAGCCACTTGCTGGTTTTCTTTCAGTGCCCCTCTTAAAAAATGGCTGCATTATGTTAGCCCCCTCCCTCATGTTTTTTAAAAACCTGCCACCCCCTAGGCTATGGCCAAATCTACCAAGTGCACTTTTAGAACAGTATGCAGGCCTACACACCAGACCTGTGGAATTTCCCCCTCTGTAAAATGCAAAATCAGGCAAGTGCATATTTCTCTCATCATAATCAGATAGTTTATCGTTGAAACGAAGAAAGGATGAGTGGGTTCCCCCCACCCCCACAAACAACACATGCTTTGCCTATTTTTCATGAGTGGCAGAGACAGAAGCAAATGCCACAGTGGTATCTTACATTTAATTATCTCAAAATGTCACTGCTTTGAAGCAAATAGATGTAGGAAGGAGATAGCTAACACCTGCTTGAAAATGCAATAAATAAATAAAAGTGTGGGGTGGAGGAGGGGGCTAGAGGTCCATAAAATGCATACAAGGTGTGAGTTCAGCTAGACTCCCCCCTCCCAACCCTCCAAACCCCTCCCCACATAGCAGTTCCTTCTCCTGGCAGGGAAATAGACATTGTTTACTCTGTCTGGCCAATTCCTGAACCACCGATAAAGCACAACCTAAATTGAATTACAGAGACCCAAGCGATAAATAGGGCTGCTTTAAGTTAGGAGAGGGCACATTCCTCCCTGCAAAGCCCAATGCCACACTGAATGTACATGTCCCAAACCCTGTTAGACTTCAGTTAAAGGTTCTGGCATTTGCAGAATGGCTAGAGGCAGCCTCCTACTGGAGCAAAGGTGGCATAGTTAAGAACAACACATATTTTGTGCAATGCTGAGTTAAGAGGAAATCATGCATATTCGTCTCAATCATGATATCCTTTTCGGGCACTTTGCTTGGTGAATATCTGGAGAATGTAGCTTTCAAAAACTCCATAAATCTGTACAAAGCTATCAGCAGTGCCTTTTTGTGTAAATATATATTTAGATGCTTTATTCAAAGAGGTATGACGAGAAATACTCGAGTGGAACTGCTATATATAAGTGATAGCAATACAATCCTTGCCAATAATGGGCAGCTCTCCTTGACTCCTGTTGCTACATGGATAGATTGTTGGGGGTGGCAAGACATATGCATGAATTTTCATGGATGTGTATGGTTGTTTAGAATTGCATGACTTTGCTTTAAGGTTACAGGGTGTGCAAGATGGCACTTAGAGACTCTGAAAGAACTTGATCAGGAATTGGCTGTGTTTCCAGGTGTGCAGAGGATGGGCAGACAGAAAAGCTGGCAGACAGGCAGGGGAGAAGAACTAGTAGCAGCGCCAATGGGCAGAAATGAGGAAAGATGTCTGGCCCCTTCCTATGGTTGCAATTTTAAACCAGGTGCTGCAAGATTTTATTTGATTTCAGAGTCATGCTTTGGAAGTCCATTCCCTTTGCTGCTACTTTTCCAGCACGAGCCAATACCATAATGTATTAGCAATCTAGTTCTGAAAGGCAAAGTGCGTGCTGTTGTCAAAATTTTGCATAAAAAAACCACCATTGCAGTGTCAATTGCTTTTAGATGTTTCACCAAAAGTGGTGGGAAATGGGTAAAGTAAAAGAAGGAGAATAAGCAGAACAGGACACATGGGAAATCCCAACACATGGGGCAAATGAAGAAGTAACCCAGTAACAACACCCCCCCCCCTGCCAAAAAAACAACAACCAATCCACACCCTAGTACTCCATGGGCTACTTTCAAGACAATGAAAAGTTATCACAAGAAATGAATTAATAATTGCAGGCCCAAAGGGCAAACATTGATTTCCTGCAATCCAAATCAGATTGCAGTCATTCCCACCTTTCCAGGCAGCTGTCAGAGATCTGATTAAACACCACTGCATTTAAAGTGCATGTGTAACAGCAGCAACAGGAGAGAAAGCTCTGACCGGAGCTCTTTCTAATTCCCACACTGAACTACCTGACCACAGTATCAAAAGCATCTGTTTGCTTTCACCAATTAAACTGGCGATGAGACTGGCAGACAAGCAGCCCCCCCCCCCAATTTAAACCCTGCCTCACAGGAGGTTTTCTGGTACAAGCATCAATCCTGTTGGCGTGTGTCTTTTCTACACACATACACACCTACACAAGCGCATACAGTCATGATTTTGGGCACCCCGACAGTGCAGAGTTTTGAATGCGCATTCGGAATGATTTATCTTCCTCCAGGTCTCCCTCTTCTGTAGTATGAAAGGGGAAGAATTTGCAAAATCAGTGCCAAGGTGCCACTTTCCGTATATGTTTTGCATCTAGAAAATGTGGAGGACCTGTGAGCCACTGACTTGAGTGCTTGCAGGGGTCTCGGTGGGAAGCCTGCTGTGCAGTGTATGTGCAGCAATCTCTGCCTTCCCCATTGTGGACGAAGGAGGGGAGCTCAATTGCCAGCTGAAAGGCAGAAACCTATAAATATATTTCCCAGATTATGAGATCCTGCTCAGGGAAGGAGGGCAAGCAATCCCACCAGCTCAGAGAGGGAAACAGAGGTTGCTTCGGAGAGGGACACATAGAACGTGCTCCTTCATTGCCTGCCTGCCCCTGAGAGGAAAGGGATGCTGAACAAAGCCCCACTTATACCAAATGCCTAGATTGTCAGAACTGGGAGCAACATGACTTAGAGGGTGCATAGCTGGGACAGAAATGTATTCAGTGGGAGAAAAGGAAGGAAGAAATCAGTGAAGCTGAGTGAGTATGAGTACGTGTGTGTGTGTGTGTGTGTTTCTCTCTCTATCTCTCTCTCCCCCCCTCTCCCCCCCAAAGTATAGAGGTACATAGGAAACAACACTGAGGTGCTGAATCTGAAGAGTATGGGTTGACACCTTCTTGACAGGGGTGTGTGGTGTTTTTGGGGGGAGGAGAGGATGCGTCTTAGGGAAGTGGCAGAGGAGAAAGGGTTTGCAGAAAGTGTAAGTAAAGATGAAAGGGCAACACAATACAAAAATTGCACATGTCTTTTGCAAGAAAGATTGGAAGGCATTAGGATGTAATGAGGATGGGGATGCTTTGAAAGGGTATTTTGTTATCTTTTTCAGAGTATGCTTGTTCTTGGCGGTATGGAAGTGTAGTAGAAAAGGAGCAGGGAGAGTCATAGGTACACAGCTGATGTAACACTACAAAAATAAATCAATCAAACTGTCTCAGCTTCTTCCGCGGAACTCCAGCAGTTGTGGCCACTGGAGTTTCTCCTGTGGAATATCACCACCACCAGACCACCACGCGAAGACGCAGTTATCAGGGGGTCACCAAGGGGAAACTCTGGCATAAAAAAACATGGTTATGTTGCCTGCCCACCCCCCACATTTCCTGCAAGGAGGGGAAGAGACACAAAACTCTCTTCCTCCTCAAGGTGTCTGCAGACTTACTTTCCAGATCACATTCTCTCCCCCTGCTCTTGCCAGGAAAAACCAACCATGGTGCACTTCGTCTGAACCAGCTACAGGGTCCCACCCTGCAATGAGTTTCTTGACAGCTCGGTACAGATAACAAAGAAGTGTTCCTAATACTTCTAAACCATGACAGCTCTAAATTAGGGACACTTAAAAAAAAGAACCAAGGAGCAAATGGAAACCATAAAAATATCAGCACATTAATGAAATTATTGTGACAGGCATGGCTTCTTGTTGTTGTTGTTGTTACCAGCCATAATAGGAATTTTTTTTCTATCTCTAACCTCTATCCCTTCTCTCTGTAGAGTACCAGGCTTGTTATTTATTATTTAGTTGTTGTTGAAAACCAGCTATTTCTATGGATGGCGGAGGGAATCACTCAAAATATATTGAGACCCAGCCTGCAGAACAACAGATCTCCCATTGTATCATCAGGCCCTAGACTCAGGCACACTCTAAGCACGTGTGGTCAGTGGACTAGGGGATTAGGTAGTCCGAAAG